AATTTATATCTTTTAAAAAACAAAACACTATAATCCCGAGGAAATCAGAATGCATTGCGAAAAATCCAGAATAGCATCATGCAATTGCTAAAACGAATCAAAATACCAGATCCATTAATTGGCACTTGCATGCAATCGAAAGCCACATACCAAAACCCGAATTTAGACAGGTATCAAAATAATTAGATAGCAGAATATGTATCAAAATTAAAGTAAACTATCAACTTGAAACATCTAAACTTGCAGTTTCATTAGAAAATTAAACTTATAAAACTAGATACCCCCTCTCATTTCCAGCAAAACTGAAAATAAAATCCAAAGAATTACCACTTACCAGCCAATGCCAGCCGCCAAGTCCAAAATCCTTGTTAACGACGCCTTAAAGACCAACGAGCACTGATTTACTACGATTGTTTCCAGTGACGACCACCTTAGTATGACGCGGCAACACCGATTAAATTGTTTTAGCACTAGGCAACTACTGCAAGCTTAAAGTGAGATCAACGAATTATACCTCTTCTGCAAGGAATTGTAACACCACCCAATTTAACGATTTTATGTTAGTGTTTGCTTAATTTTTCAAAATCAGAACCGAGAACCAGTGAAAAGGGGAAAACTCAATGAGGTATAATATGAATGATTTATACAACTAGTACGAGAATGATTCATGAAAATGAATAAAGTTATCTCTTCATTTCACAAAAAAACAAAATGGATAAAATCTACTACTTACTGATTATGAAGGGCAACGTATGAATTCAACTCCTTGATCTGCAAGAGACTGCCATAAGCAAGCCCGATTTACTGGATTGATGGCCACTCAACGGCGATAAACAAATTAGGGTTTAGGGTCAACGACGTCAATGGTGGCCAATGGAAGCTCGATTTACTGAAAAGTCGACTCAAACGGGCACCAAAATTGTGGGAGGGTCGAAGGTGATAAACAAATTAGGGCTCGGGCGAATGACAGATTTTGGGGGTTTTATAATACTTTACAGCGTTTGCAAACAAAACGCCACTACATGCCAAATATATTGCAGCGTTTACGCCAAAACGCCACTACTGGCCAACTCTATAGCGGCGTTTGTATGACAAATGCCACAGAAGTGTTACTGTATTGGGGCGTTTACATAAAAACGTCACAAAATCCCTATTTTTTTTGCGGTGAAACGCCACTAAATTTTTACTATTTTACGACGTTTTTATATAAACGCCGCTAAAGTATTACTATTTGGCGGCGTTTATATAAAAATGCTGGTATATCCCCAAATATTACGGCGTTTGTTGTAAAAAGGCCACTAAATATTACATCTATTACGGCATTTGTATAAAAACGCCACTATAGATCTGCCCTTTAGTGGCGTTTTTGGATACAAACGCCGCAAAAGTTCATATATAGAGGCGTTTTTGATACAAACGCCGCTAATTACCTTTATGTAAATAAGATTAGTTGATTTTACATATTTCATTTATGCTCTACAACCACTAAATTGACTGATATATGTAGCTTTATCTATTTAACAACAACCATACATTTTAATTAAGACATAAGTTATGCATAAAAATACTTAACAATAAAATACATTAAAATTTAGAAACATTAAAGTTATGCATAAATAGTCTTCACCATATTGTTTCACTACAATTTAGTTGTGCTCCTTCGTGGATAAAGGACGTAGGAAAGCTGTTTTCCTTGTTTGACGATGCATCGTTAAGTTTTTTCTCTGTGTAAACTCTATATGGAGAAAATCTTCATCCATTTTACCAAATAAATCCCCTACATCCGGTTCACCAAGAAGACTCCTTGCGCGCTTCAGTGCTTCACTTGAAACAGATAACGACCTTCCACCTACAATATAAAACTTGATTGGAGGTGGCTTGGGAACTGAATCAAACATTAAAATAAATTTAAATAGATGATAGAAACGTTTACTTAGAGTAACAGTAGAGACAACGTCGACTTCATTGAGGATAGATACTACTTTTGCAATTGAAGATTCTTTCAACGCCACAGAGTTACCAAATTCGGTTCTAAACATCGGGTATTTATCCACTCCTATATCATCGTTCTCAATAAGCTTCAAAGATCCTACATGCGTACGATCTATGAAATTTGACTGAGCATAGAAAAATAAATTATAGCGGCTGAAAGATTCATAGATTATTACCTTCAAGAAGGAGATCGACCATGGAAGGGTATGGAGCAATAAAAGTTCCTTTCGAGTCATCATCCAGTTTCAACGGCGAGATAGGACCGATATCCTCCCAACGATAATTTGATCCATCATCAGAGCAAATACGCCACTTAGACATTTCTTCGACGATAATTTCTCTTACTCAATGCAACACCTGCTCTCTTTTTATCAAATACATTAGCTTTTTGGGTTTTCCCCATTTTCAGAAGACCAAAAAAATGAAAAATATCATTAATGATAAGAGGGATCAAACCGTGCAGTTGTGTTATAGTTCGTCGGTGAGAGGCCCGATTTGGTTGGTGGGACATACAAACGACGACGTCGGTAGGAATCGAATCGTTTGAGAGCTATTGTTGTTCCAGAGAAGAAGCTTTGAGGGAATAAGAGTTTAAATGATTTTAAGGTTCGGGTAAAAGAAAATGAAAACTATATATTTAACATTTTGCGGCGTTTATACAAAAAAAATGCCACTATTGATTACACTATTGTGGCGTTTGTTTAAAAATGCCACTATTTATTATCACTATTGCGGCGTTTTAAGAATAAATGCCACTATATGTGTAATCTATTACGGCGTTTATGGTATAAACGCCGCTAATTTGCCGATATATTGTGGCGTTTTGGCTAAAATGCCACTATATGTTAATCTATTGTGGCATTTATGGTATAAACGCCGCTAATTTACCATTCTATTGCGTCATTTATTAAAAAACGCCACAATAAACCACCCTATTGCGGTGTTTTTATAAAAAACGCCGCTAATTTACCAATCTATTGTGGCGTTTTGCCTAAAACGCCACTATATGTTAATCTATTGTGGCGTTTATGGTATAAACGCCACTAATTTACCATTCTATTGCAGCATTTGTTAAAAAACACCGCAATAAACCACACTATTGCGACGTTTTTTTTGTAAAAACGCCGCTATATGTCAAATCTATTGCAACGTTTTTACAACAAACGCCGCGAAAGTATCAATTTGTGGCGCTACGATTGTAAACGCTGCTATATGTTTAACTCTTATGGCGTTTTCTCTCCAAACGCCGCTAAAAATGCCGTTACATATCAATTTTGCTTTCGTGCTAGGACATGCTAGTATGAGTGTTTTGCAACGGCTAATTCAAGGGATTTAGTAAGAGGGTTGCCTAAACTAAAATTTGATAATGGTAAAATCTGTGATGCTTGTGCTAAAGGAAAACAAAAGCGAGTTTCTTTTAAATCCATTAATGATGTATCAACTAGTAGATTATTACAGTTGATCCATATAGATCTTTTTGGGCTAAATAGAACTACTAGCTTGGGTGGAAAACACTATGCATTTGTCTTGATAGATGACTATTCTAGATATACTTGGGTTCTATTTTAAAGTACTAAAGATGAAGCATTAGAACATTTTATCACATTTTTAAAATAATCCAAAACGAAAAAGGTTACTCTATCACTAGTGTTAGAAGTGATCATGGCACTGAATTTGAAAATCTTGGATTTACTGAGTTTTGCAATTCTAATGGCATTAGCCATAATTTTTCAGCACCTAGAACCCCTCAACAAAATGGAGTTGTTGAAAGGAAAAATCGAAATTTAAGAAAAATTACTAGAACCAAGCTTTGTGAAAATAATTTGCCAAAATATTTTTGGGCGGAAGCCACAAATACCGCTTGTATGTTGTAAATCGAGTAATGATTAGGCATATTTTAAAGAAAACTTCATATGAAATTTTCAAAAATAAAAAGCATAACCTTAGCTATTTTCATCCTTTTGGATGTAAATGTTTTGTTTTAAACAACGGTATGGACAATCTTGGCAAATTTGATGCTAAAAGTGATGAAGGAATTTTTTTGGGTTATTCCTTAAATTCTAAAGCTTATCGAGTATTTAATAAAAGAACTTTAGTTGTAGAAGAGTCTATACATGTTGTTTTCGATGATGTTCCCCTTCCGAGGAAGGATTCTTGTGTGAATGATGATGTAGGCATTATAAATATAAATGACGTTGGACATGACGTTGGAGAACCATCATCAAAGGAAGAAATGAAAGATGAGGAAACTCAAGATCCTCTCGAGAATCCAACCATTGAAGAAAGGGAAGTCTCTTATCCAAGGGAATACAATTATGTCAAGGATGGTGAAATAATAGGTGATCCATCCAAAGGGGTAACAACTCGATCTTCTCTTAGAAATATTTGTAATTATATTGCATTTATCTCATTCATAGAGCCTAAAAATATTAAAGAAGCATTAAATGATGAACATTGGATTATGGCTATGCAAGAAGAGTTAAATCAATTTGAGAGAAGTAAAGTATGGACATTAGTTGAAAGGCCTAGTAATAAATCTACTGTAGGGACTAGATGGGTATTTAGGAATAAGCTTGATGAAAGTGGTAATATAGTGAGAAACAAGGCTAGACTTGTTTCTCAAGGGTATACTCAAGAAGAGGGAATATACTATAATGAAACATATGCTCCCGTAGCTAGTATGGAAGCTATTAGAATGTTATTAGCATTTGCATGTTTCGATGAATTCAAATTATATCAAATGGATGTTAAAAGTTCATTTTTAAATGGTTTTATAAAATAAGAAGTGTATGTGGAATAACCTTCTGGTTTTGAAGATTCAAAATATCCAAATCATGTTCTTAAATTGACAAAAACTCTTTATGGTTTAAAACAAGCTCCTAGAGCTTGGTATGAAATATTGTCAATTTTTTTAATCGAAAAAGGTTTTTTAAAAGGGAAGGTTGACAATACATTGTTTTAAAGCATAAAGGTAAAGATTTATTAGTAGTTCAATTTTATATTGATGATATAATATTTGGTTCTACTAATGATGTTCTTTGTCAAGAATTTTCTAAGCTAATGCAAAGTGAATTCGAGATGAGCATGATGGGGGAGCTCTCATTTTTCTTGAGACTCCAAATCAAGCAAAGAAAAGATGGCATCTTCATCATTCAAGCTAAGTACGTCAAAGATATGCTCAAGAAGTTTGGACTAGAAAATGGGAAACCTCATGGCACTCCAATGAGCTCATCAACAAAGCTTGACATAGATGAAGGGGGTAAATGTGTGGATGTTAAATTATATAGGTCAATGATTGGCTCTTTGCTTTATTTAACCGTAAGTAGACCGAACATTATGTTTAGTGTTTGCTTTTATGCCAGATTTCAATCATGTCCTAAGAAATCACATTTACTAGTTGTTAAGAGAATCTTTAGATACCTTAAGGACACTCCTAGTTTAGGAGTTTGGTATCCTAGAGACTCTAGATTTAGCTTGCATGCCTTCTCTGATGCGGATTATGGAGGATGCAAATTAGATAGGAAAAGCACCTCCGGTACTTGCCAATTCCTTGGAAATATGCTGATTTCTTGGTTTTCAAAGAAACAAAATTGTGTGACATTATTTACCACTGAAGCGGAATACATTTCAGCCGGTAGTTGTTGTGCACAAGTTTTATGGAAGAAATAACTTTTTGATTATGGAATTGAAGTAGGTACCATTCCTATCAAGTGTGACAATACTAGTGCTATTTGTCTCACTAAAAATCCCATCCAACACTCTAGAACTAAGCATATTGAAATTAGACATCACTTCATTAGAGACCATGTCGCTAAGGAAGATGTAGTTCTAGAATTTGTTGATACTTTGCACCAATTAGCAGACATTTTTACAAAACCTTTAGATAAAGAAAGATTTTGGACACTTAGGAGAGAATTAGGTTTAACTGACCTTTCCTCACATAGTGTTTAAATTAATTTTAGCACTTTTATGAATAAATGAAAAATGCTTATAATAATAAATTTTTGATTGCATTCTTTGCTATTAGTTAGGGGGAGTTTATGTTCTTTGGAGAAAATTAATTTTATGGATTAAATTGATTGATCGAACATGATTAATTTTCAATATATGAGTTGCCAAAACCACTAGAGCTAATTAATTTAGCATTTTGAGTGTTTAAAACGAATTTTTGACATTTTTGTGCATAGAGTATCGACCCCTAAGACCGGTATCGATACCTCTATAATAGGTATCAATACCATCTTTGAATGGGTATCGATATCCCCCTGATGGTACTGATACCCTCCACGGGGTCTGTTGATAAACACCCCAAATAAACCCCATTCTCTCAAACCCTCTCTTCTCACTCTTTGACGTTGTTCCCTCTCTCCATCTCCCTAAATCACTACATTGCTTCAAAACATCAATTTTTAGTCAGAATTTGTTTGCATCTCAACTCCCAATCCTGCTTCAATCATTAATTCGTGCAAAACATCACTACATTCCACTCAAATCCAAAATTTTCAAGGTATTGTTCAAAAATATCTATTTCAATTAATTTTTGAACTTAGGACTAGTTTAGATTTGTTCTAGGTTGAAATAATTATCGGGCATTGATCACATGTTATTTCTAAACTAGATTCTACAACAAATTTCATCAAAAACACAATACTTTTCAAAAAAATTCAAAATTTTGAATATATATATATTATTTTCAAAAATCATGGGTTTAATTGATGTTTTTGATTCAATTATGTTGTTTTCATGAAAACTATACGTATTATGATTTTTAAACATTATTTTCAAAATAGTATTCAAAACTTTGCCCATTAGGATTGTTTTAGAGAACCTTGAAATATTGAGGACTCAATTGAGTTTTGGGATTGATATATTTTCATACATGTGTTTTCAAAATTGCAGGTTATCCATTCTATTCCGATTTCTTAAGTCATGTCTTACAAACGACCTAGGTCCTCTAGTATGTTTAACCAACCTCAAAATCGACCTCCAAATCCAAATCCTCCAATTCCTCCTCAAATTCCTGATTCCATTATGACTATAGGTAATTCGTGCTTTAATGAACCTGGACGTAGACAAGATATCTACTATAGTTATTCTCATTACTTTTAGTCATATAAAATTCGCGAAGAACGCATCCCGTCCCTTCAAGCTATGGTAGATATGAACTTTAGATATCTACCTACCCTATTAGATTGAAAATTTGATAAACTCTGTCAACTCGAGCCGATTTTTTATCAACAACTCGTTCGAATCTACTATTCCAATGCCATTTGCATTCAAAATTAAGAACAAACCGCAACTATAGGGATCCGATCCTATCTTATCAGTCAATTTATTCAGATTGATTCTCAGTATATAACAAATGCTTTTGGCTTAGATGATAATGGATTATACAATGAAAAACAAATCGTAGGTTCCCATTACAAGGTTAGATCGAGTGCGAGTATCTTAGATCATCACGATCGATTTCTTCATCTTATGATCTCTTGGCGGTTTAGACCATCCGGAGGAAAATACTCCACTCTTAGAGCCTTAGATTTGTGGTGGATACATTGTATCCATAATAATATGAAAATTAACCTTCCTTATATCATCTTTTTGGTTCTCGTTGACACCGTGAATCTCGTTCTAATAAGAAAACTTGTCCAATTCTAGTTTATGGTTGTCTAATGAGTAACTTGTTTAAGAAAGTCGTCCCTCTCAAAAACCAAATTAATCTTCTTTCCTTAACGAGATCGGGATGGATAAAGGATAAGGAAACTGGTGAATGGGTTCGACCATCTGAGGAAACTCCGGGAGCTAGTTCTTCACGAGCTCCACTGGGAGCGGACGATAATCCAGAGCTTCAACAACTAATGCAAGATATTGGCGAAGCCGACGATGAGCCAGAACAACCCGAAGAACAAGCACAACAAGTGGATCAAATGCCTCCATATTTTCAATTTTTTATGGAGACATTCGATTTTCGATATGCATCCATGGATTCGCGCATAACTTTCATAGAGTCTCATTTATCCACAATGGGAGATCAACAATTGGAAATTCTCTGGGAGATACGCTCGAACAACATAACTATGAATGAACGTATTAATGCGCTCACACATGAGATGGCAGCTATGCGAGCTCATTTTCCTCCTCCCGATCCTCCAACGGATGCTTGAACCTTGTTTGCTTTAGATATATAGGATTGAACTTAGAACTTATTGTTTTTAACTTTTTTGATGCTTTTGTGGATGTTTAAATTTGCTTTGAATATTTTTGATTTGAATTTGTTATGGATATTTTAGATGTTTGGGATGGTAATTGTTGGTTTGAATGTCTTTATTTGAATATTGAACTTAAAAGTCTATTAATTTTGCATCATTTAGAATATATGACCAATTTGCATTGCACATTTGTTTATGAAAATTGATTATGGATCTCATGGCTAATCTTTCTCTTGATTTTGATCTTAGCAGCTTAAACTTTATCTAATTCACATCAATTGGAAAAAACTTGTTTTATAAACCTTTTAGAGTATTCTTTTTTATTTAACAAAAAGGGGGAGAAGTGTTAGAGTAAGGGGGAGTAATTTTTTCAAATTTTTCAAACTTGATTTCAAAAATGATTTTCAATTATAAAACCTTAAAATTACTAAAATGTTTTGTTATATAAAAATATGGGAGATTGTTGAAAACATTTTGATGTTTCGATCTAACAAATTAAGTGTTAATTAATTTTAAGATTTTATATTGAATTATATATTCGATTAAATTATTTGAATATGAAAATTATTATTCCAAGTTTTCAAAACGTCTATTTCAATCCTTACTCAAGTGTAAAATTAAGTTTCAATCTTAAAATATTTTTGAAACAATTTTTACAAAGTATTTCGAGTCATATTCGAGCCAAAAATAAAATTTACTTAGTGTGGTATCGATACCCCCTATAGGGTACCGATACCCCCTCTATAAGGTACCGATACCCCCCATAGGTATCAATACCCCCATGCAATGGTACCGATACCCCTCAGGAGGTACCAATACCCTAAGGCATATAACAGTCGAAATATTTAAATTTTACACTGCAAGTATCGATACCCTATGAAGGGGTACCGATACCCCCACGCTCCAAGCTATTTTATTAATTTTTTTTCGCACTACAACGGCTCTAACTTCATCCAAATGGTTCCCAACGGTTAGAATCATCCCAAGGTGTATTTAAACAAGTTCTGAAGCTATTGATAAACAAGAAATCATTGAGAAACAAGAGAGAAAGCATCAAACACCAAGTTTGTGCAATTCAAGCCAATTTTCCTTCAATATTCATTTTGCTTTCAAGAAAATACATTGTGCTCATTTGTAATCATTTTTAAGTGTTCTTTTGTTGTTTTAGAATTGTGCAAACATCTTACCTTGTGAGGTTTTCTTGTAAGTTTGTGAAATTTATGTATTTCTCTTTAGGAGAGAGTGTGCTCAAGAATTGGGGTAAAATTCTTGAGGGAGTTGTAAGGTTACTCTTTGTCCTCAAAAGAAAGAACAATTTAGTGAATTTGTTGGAAAATCCTTAGTGTGGATAGCTAAGGTAGTGGTCGTAGACTTTGGTTGAGAAAGTCGAACCACTATAAATAGTTGTGCAATTACTTTCAATTTTCTGCAAAAGCTTCCACCAAAATTTTAATTGCCAATTCACCCCCCTCTTGGTCAATTCCATTGATCGATTAACTCAACAACCACCAATGTTGGAATTATTCCTAGTGAAAGAAAATGTGGAAATGTGTTTACATCCGAGGAAGAATCCAACTTCAAATAGGAAATCAACATAGAGTCTTCCACCGAAGGATATTCCTCAACAGGTTAATAAACGACCAATTGCAATGTCAATGATGAGCATGTTTTTTCTGTACCCAAAGGCAAAGATGTTTCAAGATATATGACTTGCAATTAGTTACTATACCAACGAACAAATAAAAAAGAACATTTGCATGGAAGAAAAAGAGTGGGAAATGAAAAGAATGAAAAATAAGAGAGTGGATGAAAGAAACGTTGGAGTTGAAAATAAGTGTAGAAAAGAAAAGGATAAGAATCAATCACCTTCAGCTAGATTTTCTTACCTTCATCTTCGTATCCTTCTTTTTCATTCTCTAGTGGTGTTCCTCCATTTACAAGCTCCAAGGAGTGGCAAGCTAGGCGTCCGAGAGGAGCTAGCGAGCTAAGGCGAGTCGTGGTGGTTGAGGAGAGCTTCGGCTGCGTGCGTCGAAGGCTTCTTCTCCCTTCCCCTTTGCTATTATTTTCCATTTGATATTAGGTTGTTGGAACGGATAAATTTCATGTTTTGTTTCATGGATGATTCTAACCTCACCATAAACTAACCTTAATTGGTGGGGTTGATTTTATGGATGTTTAACATTATTTTAATGGTAGATTTATATTTATCTTTTGTATTTACTTGTTTTACTTATGAATGCTTAATCTTCTAAGTTTGTAGGAGGCAAGAGAGTGTCCATTACTTAAATGAAGGCTTGGTGTTCGAGAGAAGCTTAGCTATTAATACTTGTAGTATTCGAGAGAAACACAAGCAAGATCCGTATAAGCAATGTGGTGTAGTATTTTCTTAAGCTTTGAACCGACCTAGTAATATTGTATCCAAATCCCTTAGTGCTTAAGAGATACTAAGATAGGATTTCAATGACTAAGAGGGTTAGTTTTTATTAATAGTGTAGGCTGCCATAGTTGAGACTGAGAGGAGATGTCGTGGCATTCTATGCTATTAGGTTCCTTTGACTAGATATAGCGGGAGCATTTTTAGAAAACCTTGTCGAGCAAGTGAAGTTTAGATAAATTAAATCTGCCTGTGAGATAAGTTTTAGCATCCTTAAATTAATCCCTACCATTCATTCCCGTGGAAGTTTGTTGTGTGAGGATTATCAAACTATTATTTATTTATTGTTTTTACTATTTTTGATTGCCTTGACATTTCTATCATTTTCAATAGTATAATTTGCTCTTGCCACTACATTTCCATTTGCTACCACATCAGACTATCAATCCATATCCACCAACATATACTTTCCATTTTCGTGACATTCCCCATTAGCACATATCAACACTAACTATAGTTAGATAGAGTAGTGCTTTGCTTTGGTTAAACTTTTTAATTTCCACCAATCCCTGTGGAGATGATACTCACTCATCACTTTATTACTTGAGCGATTGTGTATACTTGCACATTATTTGCGTATAATTTTATAGTACTCACAACACGGAATAACAAGTAAGTCCGATCTTCCTTTAATTTGTACCACCAATGTTGGAATTGTTCCTAGTGCAAGCAAAGGTGGAAATGTGTTTACATCCGAGGAAGAATCCAACTTCAATGAGGAAAGTAACATAGAGTCTTCCACCGAAGGATATTCCTCAACAGGTCAATCAACGACCATTTGCAACGTCAATGATGAGCATGTTTATTGTGTACCCAAAGGCAAAGGCGTAGATGTTTCAAGAGATATGACTTGAAATTAGTTACGTACCAACAAACAAATAAAAAAAAGGGCATTTACATGGAAGAAAAAGAGTGGAAAAATAAAAAGAATGAAAATGAGAGAGTGGATGAAAGAAACATTGGAGTTGAAAATAAGTGTAGAAAAGAAAAGGAAAGTGAAGAACATATTTTACCTAACAACTCTTCTTCACCTATTATTTCTTTTGTTTTTCATGACAATCTAAGAGACATATCTTTTCAAGGAGATGATTCAAGAATCATGACTTTTGGAGAACTAAAGGATGTGTCATTTGAATCACCAATAGACATAGACTTTTGGATACTCACAAGACGAGTCACTTGATGTTACAAGAGTTAAGCTATTTGAAGTTCTAAAGAATATGTCACTTGAAGTCTCAATAGTTGTGTTCGTTGACATTCCAAGAGATATGCCAAGCTTGAAGAAAATTCAGCAACAAACTCCATTAATTACCCTCAATGGTTTGATATGTCCATTCATTCTATTAATTACTTTTCATTTGCTAATTTTGGTTTATTTTGCAGCAAACTAATTTATGTGCTTGGAGTTATCTTACATACCTATGAGGACAAGTTCCAACAAAAACAAGGCCACTCTACAAGTATATACTATGCCCAGAATCAGTCGATTCAGTAGTATAAAGCAAGCATCGTCCACCTAATCAAGAGCCATCATATGGAAGAGCACAAAGATTAAAGGAGATGGTGTAACCTACCTACTTGAAGGAGTTCAAAGGTCAAGACTCTCCACCCACTCTTATGATGATTCAAAGGAACACAATGAAGGAGTGCAAAGAACATATACCTATTCGGATGAACAACATGGAAATGAAGTGCACAAGCAAGCAAAACTTAATTCCAAAGAATGGTGTTTGTGTAAAACAAGAATGAAGAAGTTCCCAGCTAAAAGGAAATCGAGATTTTTTCCTTTTGTAGCAAGCTTCGATTTGGGGATAAATCACATTAAAGAGGGAGGGAATGATGTGATCTCAATCAGCCCTAACTTTCGTCTTGATCTGATTAAAGGTTGATTCAAAGGGAGTTTTACCTTCTTCATCCTATACCTGCTCATTTATTCACTATATTTTATCATACGTTTGTATTTGCCACTTGGGATATGGTTATCATATGATATCATTCATTGCATGATTTACATGAGTTTTATTAGTTGCATGACATTCAATGCATTTAATAAGTGTGTTGTTCATTTAATCATGAATTGCATTTAAAACATCTAGTTCATTGAATAAAGTTAGTTCATTAATTAAACTAGTTCATTTATTAAACAAACTCTGAATTGTTTCATGCATGTTTTCAATTAAAGATTGAATAAAGTTCACCTTTGTGTCTAGGTGCATGAGAGAAGTTGAACGGTTTTAACAGATGCAAGAATATCAATCAGAATGTCTTCTAATTATAGATCCGATACAGACGTTTTTGGGTCCAGAAATCAATTGGACATTATTCCTCTATCTCTTAGCTTTCCAACACCTTTTGAATCACCTGAATCCGATAGCGAGAGCTTGAGATATAATCGATTTACTGAAGACAGTGCAGGCTAGGATTTTCATTACGAGAATTTTATACAATGATGATATGGATGAGTTTTAGCCAAGGAAGAGTTCTTTCATCTTCTACCAAGAGACAAGCAATTGGTGGCCATCTTAATTCACCAATTCAAGGCATTCAAGGTTGATGTTATCACCCATTGAAGGCCATACACGTTCAAGCAAGGGGACGTGCAATAACCAGCATTCAAGGCCTTTATCATCTTTTGAAGGCTGATCATATTCTACAAGGGAACAAGCAATGAAGGTTGATTTTATTTCATTTAACCACCAAATTAAGTGATAAAATCAGCAAGGAATTTGAAGAGATAAGCTATCGGGTCACAATCCATCCTTTGAATTTCTATCATCCTCCTCACCGACTACAACCATCCTTCACCATTTTCGTTACATTCATTCAACCGTTATCATCACCACTCTCCTTTCATTTGCAAACCACTTTAACTTTATCCACATCCTTTTCAATTTCATTCTTTATTTGTTTATCTCATATTCACAACGTTAATTTTGCACTTTCATAATAATCATTTCAAGCACTGTGGAGTTTCTTACTAGAATCACGATCGGGAAACAACGTATATGACTCAAAACAAATTATCGAGATCATATCAATTAGTATTAGAGAGAGTCGATTCAGTAAGTGTATCCTTTTCAATTTCATTCTTTATTTAGTTTTGTTTCATTTTAGTATCCCCGTTCAAAATTTAAAGTTTAGATACTAAAACGTAGTTTAGGTACTAAATGCGTTAAGCTTTTAACGACAAGTACTAAAATGAAATGAAAACTAAACGTTGGGTATGGTTTTAAAAAAATTGAAAGTTTAGGTACTAAAACGGACAAAACTAATAGTTTAGGTACTAAATGCATAATTTACCCTACTTTTTATATAAAGCTTATATATATTCAAACTATACATCTTAAACTTTTTGGTCAATTTAGGCATCTAACATTACAAATATTATTATTTTAAGTGTCTCGACCCTAACAGTAGTTAAAATTCATTAAGTGACTATTTCACATTTATTTTTTTTATTTATTAAAAAAAATAAAATATTATTATATTAAAAAACTCTAATTTTTCTAAAATTACAAAAAAATCCCTAAAGATCCATAAAAACTCTAACCCTAACATTATCATATCCCTTACCAACCATGGCCATCAACGTTGCCGCCGCCCTTGCCATCTCTTTTGTTGGTCGTCATCGTGCTTGTCGTCCGGTAGTGTGCGTCACAATTTTTCAATTTTTTTAACGTCTAGTTGCGTGGGTGTTGCTGGGTTCTGGGTCTAGGTCGTAAAGGTCTTGTTATCAGGAGAAGGTTCGATCGATAAAACAATGATAAACGGTGACGACTGACATTGACATAGAGATTGAAATTATAGTTTTCAAACTTTTATGAGTTTTTTAAGATTTGAGCTTTTTTTTTAAAAATATAAATATATGATTTTTTTAAATTATATAAATGCAATTCGTGTCACGTAACAAATTTTTTAACGACCTTTATAATCAAGACACTTAGAATGTAATATTTGTAATGTTAGACACCTAGATTGACCGAAAAATTTTAGGTATCAAAATGGAAAAAGACGTATAATTTAGACTATTTTAGCTAAGCCAAAACTTAAAAACAAAATCAAACGTTAAATGAAATTTAATACAAATAAAAAGTAAAAATAATGTAATTATAATTAGTATTTTTTAATAATATAATAATAAGTCTTTTTTAGTAATTTAAAAAAATTATAAAGTAATATCTATTCAAAATCTTTTTTTTTTCATTGACAATACATATATCTACATCATATAAACGTAACAATTTGAACCTAAGACTTTTAAAGAGAACACTCGTTTTAATCATTTAGTCCGATCAATAGATTCTAATACAAATGCCGAGTTAAAAAAAAATCATTTGCATCTGCAAGCTGCCGTGAGAACAACTAAGGCCCCAATAATAAGTTGGGATGAGCCGATGAGGGCAAGGACACACATTACAAATACAATATTAACGTCTGTCATATACCCTATTCTCTTCACTCATATCTCTTTTAAGATCTACGCCCATTACTTCTCTTCATATTTGTAAACAATGATTAAAAATGCATTTGAAAAGAAATTAATCGAAAGATTCCGAGGCCGTCTATCAGAGTTTCAAATCACGATCGCGGTCTCATTTTCGGTCATTTTGGGTTTGTCGTGATTGTGGCCGTCGCGGGAGCTATTATGACCGTCGCAGGTGCTATTGCGGCCATGGCGCTATTGGACGCTATTACGGGTGTAACGGGTAACTCGAACGGCGGCAAAACCACTATTTCACGGGTGCTATCACGTGTTCAGACTGAGATTTAAAACCCTACCGTCTATATCGAAAATATATGACCTTAAATGGTCAACTCAACTCTTTAAAGTTTAGTTCAGCAAACAAACCTGGTTACACAAGTCGGAACCGACAAAGTTTATTAGAATTACTGCTTTTACTTCTGTTTTTCTTTCTTTTTCTTTCCATTCTTCAATCAGAATATTTTCCCAACTCGTATAGCACGAATTTTCTACATCACCATATCAACAAAACACGAAATCAGTAATGACAAACGAAAATTGCAGAACAGTCTTCTTCAAAGCAATTATCTACAGACTTACAATTCATCTAGGCTGCAGCTCCTTCCACCTTCTCTTGTATGTGGGATTACACAGGTACCCTCTTGCAGGCCTCTAAATCATAAAAGTTCCAATGATTATAAATATCAACTCTCTTTTCAAAGTTTTACTGTCATTTTTCCATGAAAAGTTCTTACATGCACGCATGAAATGCTCTATGCAAGAAAAAACCAAAAGTTGAAAAACAAAAAGGTTAAATTTGGGTTTCAGTTACAATCTGAACTGTCTTTATCCATCCATATGTGCCTTTTGATCATCCCCTAGGATGCCAAACTAATAAAAAACGAGTAGGCACCATGTGCATAACATGATGCCTTGGGCAAACTTAGCAAAGGGAGGTGCAAAAAACTACAATAAGTTGATTAATAATTTTACATTAAAGATGCACTCCTAAAACAATAGAAAAATATATACAAACAAATATAGGCATGGATAATGTTATGATTACGAGAAACATAAGTACTTTTGAAATGCAAAGGTAGAAACTGCAAAATGAGCAACTGCATCATAAGTACCAAGGGGACTGGGTTATTTTGTCAACAACAACAATAGATAGATTTTCACAGGTTTATTAGGGGAAAAGAATAACGCTATGCAATACCATACATACATCGACTAAAGGCTTCTTAAATAAGGTCATGTATTTAAGTTCACCCAAAATAGAAAAAGAAATGAATATAGTTTAGTTATTTAGCTGCTGAGTCAGGTTCCAAAGGCAATACTCGTTTATGCCATCAATGCCTCAAGGTGCTTGACCAGAGCAACTAAATGTGCACCCGGCTATATTGTGAAGATATTCACAAGTTCTCTCATATTCTTATGCCACGCTCTCCTAGGTCAAAGCAAGATGAAAAAGGCTACTGGACTTCATTGAAAAGCAAGATGAAAACAACCACACATCTCAGTAAACAAATTATTCAATTGAGGTTTAGTGAATTAACCAGTAAATAATCAGCTCTGATTTTACAGTTTCATGATTCTAATTTATATTCCAGTCTTAGGTTGAAACAAGGGATAACACACTCCTTTCAGCAAATAGAAGAAATGTTGATTCAGTAGCTCATGTATTGAATACAGAATAATGTCTTTAGATTCCACCTATTTGATCTAGTAGTAAATATCAATGCGAACTTAGGATTTAGATAATGTTTAAGTTTTCTTTCATGCTCTCAGATACACAAAACATCACACTCTCTGGCCTTTCAAAATTTAAAACTGTTTTATGATTCTTTTAATATTTTGCAGAGATTTTACACCATGCAACCAACCAACCAAGAACTAAGATAATAGAATACAAGCATGCAATTCCAGCATACAGTTTATAAAGGAAATTTACTTGACTTTCAAACTAAACATACCGATCGGAGAGAGAGAGAGAGAGAGAGAGAAACCTTAAAGTTTTGGCGCTTCATGAAAAATTGCATGGTGGATTTCAGACCGATGGTTAAGGTCACTCCTGATACAAAAAGGATCTATAAAAAGGTGTTATTCAAGCGTGATTCAAGGGAAAATGAAACAGTTTGGAATAGAGGTCAGTTAGCTTACATTTCCCATGGCAAGCAACCCCTTGTCCAAAAAATAAGATAATTCCAAAAAACGAGAACAAAACGCCAAATCCCGTTAATCCTAGCCCAATTTCTGTTTTGCATGGCATCATATATTAGACTATTAGTACTATGAAAGTTAATTGAATAAAGTGAACTAAAATGTTGTTCATTCAACATTTTTTTCCTCAATATTAATGACAAATTAAGTCATAAGTCTCTGTGTTAATCAAATGTAAGAGCAACAAATCACTTCTACTCGCTTCCAAGCATTTTCAATCTCAAGAATCCATGTAACTAAAAATATACTTTTTTCAGCAAACAGGTTCAGTTTAAACTAAAAGATTAGATTTCCAGAGAACTATAGTAACTAAAGAGCCATAATTCCATAACCATATAACTGGGGTGTAGGTAACAGTTTTATTGACCAGAAATCTTCTCATATATTATTTGCATATTATAAGATCATTCTAAAATACTCCTAGGAAAGTTTCTAATCCTAAACAGTCTTTAATTAGCATTTTCTGTACAAAACCCAGATGCTAGAGGGTTTATCACATTGTATTCCTTTAATTAAAAAAATACTTTGTATTCCTTAAACAATAGCATTATATGCACCACCAAGCAAGCATGGTGCACAAACTTCACCAACAATAACGGGAATACAAAATTAAAGCTAACAACTGGAACTGCATTCTATTGAAATACCATATTTGATGAAAGAATGAGAGTATCAAAATTTAGCCAATGAAGATGGTTGCATATCAATTAAAAATCTTCAACTATATAAGCAAATCGAACATGAGCTGAAATTACCTACTAGAAAAATTATATTCATATTTTGATAGCATTTGTTCTTAAAACCTCTTAATGTTTGCTACTTAATAGAACTCCTCACAAGTCTGAATAACTCTGCACAAGTTCCCGGAATATTGATTTGGAAAATAAATAATATTCTGTGTTTGGCAAGCTTCTCAAGAACCAGCCGCGTGACTTAATCAAACATATATCGAAGCTCATAAAAATAAATTATCCCCTCAAATCATTCCCAAATTGCCTCAATGTAAAAAAACAGTTATAAGCTTGTACATGCATAATAAACTAAAAGAGTCAGTAGAGTGCATATAATTCCCAAGTCTAGAAATATGTATTACACTAGAATTTCAAGGGATCATATATTGAATAATATCAAATACCGATTAACCAGATGTAACCCCCTCAGACCGATACAGATAACTCGATCCCATCTGGAGTGTCACATTAAGGCCACCTAAGCGACCCACTATAAAAATCTCAGAAAATTTAAAACTTTTTTATTAAAACATGTAAGTCATAAAATCATTTGTCAATACTCAGAAATAAAACAGATTTTCAGACTCGTAAATAAAACAAAATACAATTACATGCCCCCTAATCACATGTACCATACTTTGCAAGCAACGCCGGAAAAACTCCCTTATTGATATCGATAGCTGCACTGGTACAATTCTTTTTAACCTGCAATGGTGAGTAATAGAGTGAGCTTCGGAAAGCTCAGTAATACAGAACTATCAGGTGATGCTATAGGACATGCATATAAATGGAAAGCCATATAATTTCCTTATTGAATCAGACGTATACCGGTTTTCGAAATAATCTGGGGTTCCACTGGTAGTTCATCGAGTAGAAGCCATGAATATCTCAGTTCATATGAAGCATTCATAGTATCACGTTTTCAGGATATCGACTAGGATGTCTAGTGTGTTCCAACAGTACGATGAAATCATAATAGATACACTAATCAAATGATAGTTTAGTAAATCTCATAAATCATACTGTAGTGGAGCTTTTTAAACTCGTAGTTTAAAACCATTGTATAAAGAGTTAACCTAAGGGAACATCTTAGGGCCTGAGAGCCTACCCAAGAAAGTTTCGGGGCCACGGGGCCTACCTAAGAACACATCTTAATGTCGCAGGGCCTACCCGTGAATGATCTCAGGGTCGTAGAGCCTACATAAGAGTCACATTAGGTCCATAAAAATTTTCCAGCTTGATCAGAGTTGTACTTTACATATTTGTATCTCCAAGATACAATTTATATAGTGATACAATTCCATTAGCCATCACCATTAAGTCTGTGCATCCATAAAACAGTAACCATAGATTTTAGTGTACAACATGTTAAAACAATAAAATAATTTATTAATATATAAGGAACACACTATAGAATCTAATTATTTTTTCAGAGGCATTTTGTAGTTATCAATATGGATAACATGAAACTTATGCAATTTAATCGAATTCCAGGAACAAGATCCTATAGAAGAGAATCGATTACTATCCGATCTAATTAGATATTTAAGGTTGATACTTTAGAATTCCTCTATGTTTTCATGTGCATCAGGAAAGCGTTCAGGAATGACCGGAGTGATTTGAGCTAAAAAGGAGAAACGGGGATTCAAGACATTTACAATCCATGTTGATCGATCGGTTTATCGAACAATTTGAACTGAACAACTCTCAGAACTAATGCATGCCAACCCGCCAATTTATCACCTTTCCAGCGTATTCACTCTTTAATACTAAAAATTCTTGTCCATAAATCATCTTCGTAATCAACGCTGAATAACTCTTCTAACACTCTTTATTTCATTTCCACGTTTCAACAATATCAGGAAATGCTGACATACTTGATTCATGGTTCATGACTCATAAAGACAACTCATCATGTAAGTTCAACAGTGTTTCTAGACTCATCCAAATCACTTATTTAATCGTCAGTCATTGAGGTTACTTAGTTCATTTAGCAATCATGTATATCCTGGTTACTTCAGAGTTTTCCTAAGTAATTCAAACGTTTCTAAATTTTGGATACATATTGTGCTTTCTTTCAGTTCAATTTAGTCATATAATAAATTCATTATGGTATTCGTGGTTGATTTGTCTCACGAATATCCACTTCTTAGTACCAAATGCGCTCTAGAGTTGAGCTGAGCTAAGTACTTCTAGAATTATCATCGATCCAAACTTGAGGAGACGAACACGCATTCAAGTGATATCTATGCCATTCAAGTATTGACATAGAATTAGGATTGATTTACTCGCTTAAATTGTGTTCCATTATTTTTAAGGGTAATACAACACTTATGTTTATTTGAATTCCTTAATTAACCCAAGGCATTTACTTAGTCTAGATCATAAGGGCATATTGGTCATTTTGGTGCTCAATGTTTTTCCATTCATTTCAAATCTTGAGGATATCCATTCATTCCTGGACTTGGTGATATTCTTGGGTCATTCTCATTCCAGGGATATTTTGGTCATTTTACAGATCCAGGATTTTTCAAACATTTCCTTCTGTCCGATCTTATTATTAATTCAAACTTATCATATATTCCAGTCCTTTCGAACAATTCTTATAAAGAAGCACCCTCAATAATTTATTCTTCAAGTATTTACTCACTCAGAGTCAACTCGGAATATTTATACCTCTCAAATGCATTTTCGTAATTTTGTAACCATATAATTTCGGTATTAAAACTCTTAACAAGAATAATTATAATTTAGAGATCCTAAGGTAAATTGCTTTCCCAAATAATCTCTGAACTTGAAATTATTCCTTATCAAACTTCTAATATCTTATACAAGTCATCTTGGGTTTAGAAATCGGTTATCCAGATTTACTAAGCAAAACTAGTATTTTCTATGCACATCAGTAGTTTCATTAGATCAATATGTCTTTACAAAGTTCTTATCCAACTTCCAGGGTCAATTCTTATCTTTTTACAATATTAGGGTATTTTCGTAATTTTACCTAATCGAAGTATTCTCATAATTTATCATCCAAGTACCTTTAATGAGATAAATTATAATTTACAAATATACGGCTGATTCCCAGAACTTGTAATTTAATTCCAACTGTCCTCCAATTTCTTATATTAGTCATCTGAGTCATATTCAGTTACCTACTTTTTACTTCATCTATATCGAGTGTAGGAATTAATTAACTATCCAAATAAAATCAAACATTTTCATTCATGCATTTACCAATACCAACATGTTCCATAAAGCATGAAAAGATAGTAATGTATTACCTCAATTTTTGTGCATACTGATTGACCGTTTAAATTTCATTCGAACGCCCTCGATCTAGTAATCAACTTCAATAATTCCTCATATTCATATTAACAGAAATTTCATAAAAAACGGAGTTTAATTGTGAAAAACGGATCGAATCGGGTGATTAATCAGTGATAAACAACTTAACGGGTTCGAATTTGGCAAAACAGACTTTGGAATTGGACTCAAGACGTCAACGAAACCCAAAATATTACTCTAGAATTCCAGCTCGCCAACTTGATTTCTAGCTTCCAATATTTTTCTAACAAACACGGACAATCTATAGTACAAATACGACTTCAAATAATTTTCCTCGCCATAAAAATAACTTATTATAATCT